AATTAATAAAATATAATTATAGAAAAAAAAAGAAAATATAGGTTTGCCAACTCAAAACCAAGTGCCTTCTGTGCTGGGTCTGCTTTGTGGATTGGAATGTTTATGAAAATTAATAAAATATAATTATAGAAAAAAAAGAAAATATAGGGGGTCAGCAAGAGAGAGTAAGCCCCTCAATGAGATGGATCGACTTAGAGCTCTCAGCAAAGGGCTTGAGCATTTCTGAGATTGTAAGGATGGCACAGGCTAGGGCAGAGTTCAGGCTGCCTGTTTATAGTGTAGTTATGACTCATTCTCTACTTGATGACACCTAACAACAGCATGAGTGATGGTTTCTTGTCTCTATAACTACATTATAAACTTCTTGTAGTGATCAATATATAGTTCCTACATGCTACACAGCGTTGTTTTGGTTTTTCAACAACTTATGACTTACAGGGAGTTTTGGTGGCCTAGTGGATAAGGGGTTTTGCTGCCAACCCGTAGTAGGCAGTTTGACTCCACCATCTGTTCCACAAGAGCATGATGAACAATCTCCTTCTTTACAATTTATAGCCTCAGAAAACCAGCTGGAGAATCAGCTATGAGGCAGTTCTAACTGGAGGGTGATGAATTGGAGTATGAATAAGCATATTGTTGTTATTGTTGTTATGTGCCCTCGACTCACTTTCTACTCATGGCGAGCCTATGTACAACACTCTGAACCCTGCTCTATCCTGAGCCAAACTTACTGTCTCTGACACACCTGTCCCCATTACCCCAGTCACTGAGTCAATCCATCTCATCGAGGGTCGTCCCCTCCCACGCTGTCCCTCCAACCTCCCAAACATAATGTTCCTCTCCAAGGACTAGTCCCTCCTTGCAACATGCCAGAAGTAAGCCAATGAAACTTCAGAATCCTTGCCTCCAAGGAGCAGCCTGGTTTCAATCTCTGTAGAATACATAACTCTAATTACTTCTCTGAGAGATTACATAAATTAATTTATAAACTGGATTTTATTCTAATGCTACATTAAATTATATGATCTCTCAGGAAAGTATTTAAAGTTACATAAATATTCAACATTTTAAAAGATATGTAGATTCTAATTTTCTTTTAGTTTGATTATTTGTATAACTTTAATTTCTTCTCTTTTGTTGTTGTTGTTATGTGCCGTCCAGTTGCTTGTGACTCATAGCGACCCTATGTGCAACAGCCCTAAACTCTGCCCTGTCCTGTTCCAATTGCGCTGTCTCCGATACACCCGTCCCGATTACCCCAGTCACTGAATCAATCCACCTCATAGAGGGCCTTCCCCTCCTGAGCTGTCCTTCCACTCTCCCAAGCATGATGTCCCTCTCCAAGGACCGGTCTCTCCTTACAACATGTCTAAACTATGTTAGACGAAGCCTCAGAATCCTTGCCTCCAAGGAGCTGCCTGGTTTAACCCTCTTCAGGATGAATCTGTTTTTTTTCCCCCCAGCAGTCCATGGTACCCACAACACTCTTCTCCAGCACTACAGCTCAAAGGCATCAATTCTTCTATCCTTTCTAGTAATTGTTCAACTCTCTGATGCATAACAAGTGATTGCAAATACCATGGCCTGTATCAGGTGCACCTTAGTCTCCAGAGAGACACCATTGCTCTTCAGAACTTTGGAAAGGACCCTAACAGCAGACTTTCCCATCGCAAGATGTCTTTTAGTTTCCTGGCTGCTGGTGCCAAGAATGTTGACTCTGGAGCCAAGCAAACTAAAGCTGTGAACAACCTCAATCTCTTCACCATCCATCCTGATACTGCCAATTGGTCCAGTGGTGAGAAATTACATAAATTAATTTAGACTTTGCAATAATTTCCAGGCAGTAAGAACAGACTCTTATACAAATGAAGACTCCCACCCACCATAAAAGAATATAATCACGATTTTGTTTTTGTTTAGTGTGTATGTTGAAGATTATTTATTTTATTTGTATAGATATAACACATTAAGTGTATTATTATTACTTTAAATATCACTGGATTATATGTGTGTGTATATATAGAATAACATGCACTTATTGTGTTAATTAATAGCCATTTGTATTGTTATTAGCTACTCTTAAGTCCCTTAAAACTCAGGGTAAACTCATTTGTTCAGAATTTAACTCTTTCACAGGGTATGAACTTGAGGAAACAGATATCCAGTCCTATCTTCCAAATTACCTCAGTGTGAGTTCAAATTGCCATATTTTTTTGTTGGTATTCTAGTATTTAACTGTCTGAAAATCTCAGAGAACTGTGAATAAAGATAAAATCCTTGTAGTGACAAAATACACATAAAACAGCCTATCAGTGACTTCAGGGTGGCACAAGAGCACTCACTATTTAGGTTTTTTTTAATCCATGGGGTTATTTTGAATCTAAACTGATTCCAGAGTACCTAACAACAACAGCGACAACAACAACAAGGGTGTGAAGCGTAGATCAAGTAGAAGCAACTAGAGTATTAACAGTTCGTGCAAATTTTGGACACTGTCGATTTTATATGATCACACGCAAGAAAGAGGAATAACCATTCAAGTGGCATCTGTGATAAGCTAGAGGGAATAGTCTAAGAAATGTATTTTCACAATCATTTTTATAAACAGCTCTCTCAGTAAAAATTTTATTATAGAGCATTTTAAAGAAGCTGTAATGAAGGTCAAAATCTAGTGTCTAACAATATTACTCATTTACATTCACTTAGATCACACAACTCATGCAGAAATTGTTAGGGTAGCATTGGACTGATTCAGGCTCATAGTAATATTGTTAGAAAGCACAGGCTGGAATCCTGCGAGTCCTGCCCCATCCTCACAATCTCTGCAGCTTAAGCCTGCTGCTCCAGTTGCTGTGTTAGTCCACTCTACTGAAGGTCTTCTCTGATAGCCCTCTACCTCCTTTTCAGTTCACTAATCACTGAAATCATAACCATGTTGCCTTCACCTCTGTAATTCAGCCTAGAGCTTTGGGCAGGAAAGGTGATCAGAATTGTTGACTGTCCTTCATAGCTACGTTTCATTCAACTATTCTTAGTTTGACAATTGTTTTCAAAAGGCTCACCCTCATTAGTATGCTGATGGCTTCAGATCCTCTACTCTCTATGTTAGACTCTGCATTATTCCCCCCTAAACATGCAGCAGTATGTATGAAAGGAAACCCAAAATGAGATTGTAAAGAAAGAATCTGTAAGAAAAATCAACTGACTTTTAAAGAGGAATCTATCATTCTCCATGTAGTGAGAGCCACTTTATTTTTTTTTATTTCAATGAATTCAATTTAACAGTTCAGTCTGACATATAAATGCATTAGATATTTGAATATGCAATTAGA